GGTGGCAGAAATAGATGTGAGTTTGTGAAGTGGATGGCGGCGGGGACACTCACACAGAGAGAGGGAGAGGGCGAAAGAGAGGGGGGCGGAGGACAGACACACAAGAGTGCTCGCGGCGCGGGAGGCAAAGGGCCTAGGAAGTGTCAAACCCTTCCTAGTGTGATATTCTTACAAGGCCTCCCCGCCCGGAGCACCTGCAACAGCAATATACGCTCTCTCTTTCTCTTTCTCTCTCTCTCTCTCCGCCGCACACCTGATGTTGCAGCCCCCACGTCACCCCCTCCCACCGCCCGGTACGGAAGTTGTCACACGAGGCACCTGTTAGGCCCCTACTATGTGTCCCTCCCAACCTCCTTCCCCTTTACTACCAGCATGAGCAGTATAGTAAAACCGGACCGCCCCCTTTAAAAAATTATGACACTTACTAAAAAGCAAAGTTGGTTAATTTTAAAATAGGTGACTAAAGTCCCTTCAAGCACTACTGCTTCCTCTCGACGGGTGGTGCACCTCGCACGCACGGCACCCTAAAGGTTTACGCATTCATCATCCGCATTTTAAACGCAGCAAAAATGGGCCGCACTGCCCCTTCATGTAAGTTCCGCCCTGCATAATGGTGTGCTTTAAGGTATATACCTCAACACCTCGCGGCCCCCTTCGCTTTTACGCGCGGTCATCAAACTGAAGCGCCTCGGAAATGGATTGGGGGCGAGAGGCCTGGTCGGGTGGCGCCTCATGTAATGCAACCTCCCAAAAGGATTTTGTAAACAGCAAGGGGTCTGACCACAAGCGCAACGCTGTTCTTTCAGGCCCCCTACCCCTTGTCTCTGGGTCGGTGCACCTTCTCCTGGGCACACAGGAAAGAGTTTCGGTGTCGCCAACAGAAGGTAACAACATACACCGGGCTTGTGTGCACACTGTAAAATGGTTGGCGTCATTTAACGCCAAATTATTGGCGTCCTTTAAAGAACGCCAAATATTGGCGTTCTTTTCCGAAAAACGCCAAATATTGGCGTATTTTAACGCCAAATATTGGCGTTCTTCTCCTTCGAACGCCAAATGTTGGCGTCTTTGAACGCCAACTTCTGGCGTTATCACAGAACGCCAATTCTTTGGCGTTAAAAGACGCCAACCAGTTTAGAGTGCATGTGTGTATGTGTGTGCGTGGGTGGGTGGTGTGAATACCAGGCTCGTCGATAACGCGGTAAGCACACACACACACACACATATACGTAAACACGCACAAACGCGTCGGGCACAAACCTGTACCGATACGCACACACACACAGATGCATATCCAGCGAGCCACTGTTTGGTCGACAGCCGCACTGCACAGTACACCAGGCTACCGTCACCCGATTGACGTCTCCCGCGAATCGCTTTTACAAAAATTGTCACGCCCTACATTGTTGTAAGTGCAGCTGCGAGAAAGGAGGGGGAAGGGGGGGGGGGGGGACCCGGAGCCAGGCACGGTATGGGGCAATCAATGCAAAGAGTTTCGCACACGACGGTAGGGGGCTGTGCAAGGGGGGGGGGGGAGTCCCACGATTGCTCTTTAGATGGCCACCCATTGTCCCTCCCGTAGACGGTTACTTCATCAGAGTATGGTTATTCACAGGTGGCCGGCATGACGAGAAAGGGAAAGAGAGGAGGGGGAGAGAGAGGGAGAGACATGCATTATTTGCAGAGTTTGTTTGAGCTGGGCGCGCGCTGCCGAGACTATGGGGTTGCGGGGGCCTCGTGGGTCTGCTACTGCTGAGAGCTGAGAGAGGAGAAATAGAGAGAGAGATGTGTGTGTGTGTGTGTGTGTGTGTGTCTAAGGACACATTGTCGAGTCGCCCACACAGAGACCTGCCCCAGAAGGAGGGAAGGAGGAAGAGAGAGGGAGGGAGAGAGAGAGAGAGAGTCAACACCAGCAAGAAACGTTCATATTTGCGCGGAAAGAGTGACACCACACGCACACACATCGCGCGGGGCGGTCCAGCGTTGAGCTGAGAGTGAGTCATGGCAGTCCCCCGTCCTCCACAGCCAAGAGAAATACTCGAGGAGAAACGCGAGACTCTTTCATAAGTTGGTATGAACATTTCCTTTTCCGCAACTATTGCAAACTTGAAAATGTCCAATTTTAATTCAGCCCTGACGTCACAACTATCGAAATTTAGCTGCCGTAACTGAAATCTTGGTTCCCCGGGGGAAATAGTCACCACCATTGACCACCTCGCATTCGCCTCTGCCGACTCCCCACTTGTGCGCACAGCGCTCCACCCCGTTACGTCCGTCTAACAGTTAAGTCCATTCAAAGCAAACCAAACCATCGGCGAAGATCAATACACGCCTCTGCAAACAGCGGGGCCGAAACAATGGACTCAACGCACACGCACACTGGTGCCAACGTTCCACGGCAAACACTTCTGCAATTAAGTGTTTGGCGTCAGAAAAGTACAACATTTGCAATGAACGAGTCCCAAAGTTGTCGTGAGCGCAGAATCCTAAACTGAAAGCTACGCGCAAAGGGGGCGGCCGCGGAAACTCGCCACATATATTTTCAGGCCAGGGGAGTTCATCAACCCCGAAAGGACGAGCCATAAGAGCGTGTGTGTGCGTGTGCCCGTGGGAGCGTGTGGTGCATGGCGCCTAAATGGAGGTCCTGGTCGGTCCTGGCGCTATGCCCGGCGAGGGGTCAACGATAAACTGCGTGGCTCTCGAAGATAAATTGTATGAAAAATAATCGACGGTCAAAGGCCGCCAAACTTTTAAGTGTAGATGCAAATAAAGAAACATACAAACTCCATGCGGCCGGTTACGCTTTACTTTAAAATTTTAACTCATCAGATTGCGTTTCTAAGCAGATCGTATATTTTGGGAAATTCCAAAAATGAGGCTATCTCTTGTGATACCGTCATCTGGGGCTACTTTGGCCCTGCGGGGTGACTTTGCCCAGGGCCTTAAATTGTGTTTAAAATACTGATACGGTGCTGCAGGGTTCACTGTAGCTAACTGTAAATTCACCTCAAGCTATAGTGAACCCTGCAGCACCGTCATAGCATTTTAAACACAATTTTAGGCCCTGGGCAATGTCACCCCGCAGGGCCAAAGTAGCCCCAGATGACGGTATCCAAAATTTGTGAGAACGGCCACAAAATTTCGATTTTGTCTACAAATTAATCAACGGCTGATCAAATCTCTTTAGGTTGTTAATCGACAATCTTTACTTCGACCAAAACGGAAAACTTTTGCCTTTGGGTACAGACAGCCACAAGAAACTGCCTAAAAATCGAAAATGATAAAATGACTTACACTGTAACTCAACACGAAAACATCTTGTTGTTCTTGTTTTACAGTGTGCCCCGCCTGAGGCTTTGCAGAGCCGCTGCACACCCTGACCCGTTCACACTCCCACCCTAGCTTCTGACCCGGCCTACTTACAA